GTTGCGTCGTTAATTGCTTTTTTGACATTTTCTTGGCCTTTACGTTTACCGTCTCCGCTCCAGTACTTCTGCGAGCCAGGCGTTTTGATTGGCCCTGAAGCATAAAGATGCCACTCGGCCATCATGTATGAATCATTTTTATAAATCGCTGGATCGATTCTATCTAAGTCCTTCGCAGTTTTTCCTGGCGACGCCAGAATAATTATCCGCTTCGCGTTCTTGCCACCCGTAGCTCGGATTGCTTTTGTCACATCTTTGGTCCACCGGTTGTACTTGTCGGTTCTTCTGCGAAGACTGTTGTTGCAAAGTTTTTCTACTATCTTCTTCTCAGTTTTTCCTTTTGAACAAGTGTCTATTCCAAGTTCTGTAAATAGATTAAAACTGAGTCTATAGTCCCTGTCTTTTAACTGCCGAGCCACCGCTGTCCACCAGGCAACGTACGCGTCATGGTCCTCCTCTGTGGCATAGGCTTCTGCGTGATGGTGAATCCAGGAGATGATAGGAATCACATCGTGTTTCAGACAACCGTCCACAATGGTTGTCAGATTGCCAAGAAACCATTGGAATTCAACTTTAGATGAGTACAGCTCTGCGTCGCATCGAATTCGTAAGTTACGAAACCCTTTATCGTGGATGTCCTCGATGTTTTTCTCAGAGTACTTTTTCATTGGCTTCTTTGCAAAACTCTTAAACCAGTTTGTGGAAAACCCTGCGCGAATCTGGCTTTGATACTCTTCTGGCGAAATTGGATTATCTGCAAAATAATTTTAATGGAACGCTATCAGGCTATAGATAAATATAAAATGCTGAATGTTTTGTCGGGAATTTATTCCTTTTAATCTCCGTATCAAGTTCATTTTATTTTATGCTCGGGCATGCACAGATTATCAATTTTTTTTCATTATTTTCAAGGCACAACCTCTATTTTTGATTTCTAATATTTTCGTACAAGTCAATTTGTTTAAAGTGCAGATGATCTGAACTTACTCTACTTTTTTCCTCGTTTTTTTCTTGATGAAATCACATTCAGCGTAGCCTTATGACAAAAATTGGCAACATCGTTTAAAGACCTACCTTGTCCACGAGCGATAGCCACCGTAAACAGCAGGAAAAACAATGGATGCAAAACCAGGAATCGGGGCATCTTTTGTTTCATGAGTTCCTATTGTTCAGCACAAAAAAAAGCAATTAGGGGCTATTGAATTGATTATTGATGGTCGACGTACTTTCCGCGCAGGTGGGAAATTGTTATAAATCTTTAGCCTTTGTAAATACTGCGTCTTTTCTAACTAGATTTTTTTTTCCAACGCGATTCGAAAACAATACATGGTCATATATAAAATAAACAAGATCCCGGGAGAGCTGTCATTGCTTAAACATTTAACTCCCACGTGCGACCAAAAAAGAATTTCTCCTTACAAAATCAATACAATATCAA